CTTTAAAAAAAACGACGATTTGACGAGTGAGCTGCTGCATCGGATTCACCAGTCAAAGTATGAAAAAGAAACCTGCAGAGTTTTGCCAAGACCCATACAGTGCGCCAGGATGCCACCACCGCCAGGTTCGTCCAATCGATCCAGTGATTCGATAGCACTGTCGTACAAAAACTGAATGCCCTTAGCTTGGTGTGGTTTCAGGCAACTGACCAGTGAGGGATGAACGCTCACTGGACAAGGCGGATTTCCGTTCTTGTCCGGATCAAGCACAACGCTTTTCAAACGCTGCTGTTTTGGGCCGTACGGTGAAGCGTTTAGTGCAGTGGCTAAATCCGGTTCATTCGCCAATTCGATTCCATTAAACTGAAATGAATGAAGAACAGATCTGGTCAAATTCTGATCAATGCTAAAAAATTTCTGCAAATATACAAAGGTTATGTTGGTCCTAACTGCTTTACATCAGCAATGTTAACATAAAATGAGCATAACCATGGTGGCTCGGAATTGTTACCTCCTTTTGCTTTGCTTCCAAACGTTTTCTTCTCTCTTTTTCAGCTAACTCCGCGTCAATCGTATCTTTTTGCAGCTTGCTTTTGCTCATCATCTTGCGGACCCCTCGCTTGGACTTTCTTTCCTTCCCGTTCGCCTCGTCTTCCTCATGGCCACTATCGTTACTGTTATCACCACTATCACCATCACCACTAACACTTTTGTCACCATCACTGCTGTCACTGTCGTCTTCAATTTGTACACGTCTTCTTTTGGCCTTCATTCTGAAATTCATTATTTTAGTCCTTTATCCAACCCTGATAGTTGGGCACCCTGCTCAATTACACAGCAAGTAACTAATAAAAAGTGAAACAGTGCAATGTCGAATATTTTATAATAATAATAATAATGAAACACTTAAAAACGCTACAAAAAAAAAAAACAAACTTTATATGTTTATTTTTCCTTTTTCGTGCTTTTTGTGCAACAAATTCATCATCACTGGAGTCGAACTTAACGATATCACTCATATCCGCAGACTCATTCGATGAGGTGTTCGATTTGCTGCTGTGTACGGACGCAGAATCTGACGTGTTTCTTCTTCTATGTCTTAAAAAGATAAAACAGCAAAATGCGGTAAATATAACCAGTGGGATGATACAATTAATCGATAAAATAATTAAGAGAAGAAACAAGGTTTCAGAAACTTGGACTTCAATTTAAATGCATATCACCGCTATTAAAAGTCAAAATCATCAAAACTCCCTTTAACTCGCTATGAGGGACATTTGGAGAAGTTCAAGAAGGAAGTTACAACAGCAATCACTCGTTGGCCAAGGTGCTGGTAGCATCATTTTTCAACAGTTGCTTAAAATTGACCTAATAATGGCTTTGATCTCTTGTCATATGCTAGTACAGTACTACTTTAGTACTGAGATGAATCAATGTGAAGATCAAAGATTAGTAGTTGCCCCTGCTAGAACGTACAGCATCCGGCAGCTCTGCCAGCGGATGCATGATATTGGTAAAACTGCGTCACTCAAGCACCTCCTCACTGTATGGGTCGCTGTTTATTGCATAACAAATTCGAATTTAAGAATGCGCCACAGCCAGGGTACTCATAAGGCAACCATGCCCATTTTATGCTGAAACAAAAACCGTTTATAAAAAAAAGACTTACTCCTTAGCTCCCTTTTTGTTGCTTTCTTCTGGCTGCTTTTCATCTCCACCATCTTCGGACTGGTCAAAGTCACTGTCACTTAACAATAAACGTCTACGACAAAGCCGGTCTTTTTTTAGTTTGCCATCCTAAAATAGTAAAAATCATCAAAGCAGTCACACAAAAGGTGCAACTTTACCATCACTCACTCAGTAAAGTTAGTGAAATTCATAAACCTCACCGTTTTTTTGAAAAAAAATGAGGAAAATGTGAAAAGCGTTCACACATATTACAAAAATTGGCCAACGCACGGGCTGCCCGTGCGAAGATGCGTTTTTTGCAGAGTTCCCTGCA